TAAAGTAGCTGGGTTTTTGCAAAACTATGTATATTAAATTTTGGTAAGTGGAGTCCCATTTACCCATTGAATTGCATTGTAACTTCATAGGTTCTTTATCGATATCTCTGTTGTTGTCGATTATTTTGTCTGTTTTTAGTCAGCATTGTCGTAATAAGAATTCAGCTTTACCTTATCAAACCAGTAAGCCTTTTTGTCAAATAATTAGAAGTTTGTAAGTAATTATAGTAAGTAAGTGCTAGAGGGAGATAGTAAAAAATCTTTTCGTAAAACCGAGGATCACCTTTTAATTGATCTGTTTTCTAAGTTAGAATTTTTGACTGTTAACACAGAGGCTGTATTGTTAAGTCGAAGTATTCTGGGAAAGGGACAAGAATAAAGTGAGTTTGTTCAATGTTTTTAAAGGAGTGTCAGGTCCAGCTACAAGCTTTATTTAAAATTCACTGCTTCTGCTTCTCTTGGATCCCGAGCCATTTTTCTGAGCACTGTATGGGGTGGAAGTCTGCTGTTTTGCTACGAGGGAGAAGTCCAGCAGCAGCTGCCAGTTGGAACACAGGGGACAGAGCTGGGGTGCCAAAGGAAGGGTGACTGGCGGCGTAAGCAGCTTCGTCAGCTCCTTCTTTCCTCTGAGTCCTCAGAGTGGGAACAGAGCCTCATTAGAGCCCTGACTTCCTTAGTAGAAATTATGCTAGCCCTCGGAGTCCCAGGGGACTCAAGACCATTTATTTTTAGGAATGTAACTGTATTAGTGCATGTCTGCTTTAGCCACTGACTCATTCTGGAATGAGAATAATTTCAGGATTCATCCTCCATCCGTCATCCAGAGTCGAACAACAGATGCAACCTTTACTCTGTAAAATTTCAGAGAAATGAAATTTGAAAGGAAGGCATGTGTTTGTATGTACGTTATGACTTTCTTTTTCTTGAAAAGATCTAGTCCAGCTACTGCTGTTACCAACTCAAAACTACTATTTATAGTTTCCAATACCCCACCTCAAACTTCAATTTTCACTTCTTTTCATTTATTTTACCATTTCAACCCAACTGGCCCCAGCTTCTTGACTATGTCATTATGTTATGGTCTTAGCATTTCTTTTAATTATGTACAATATGCTCATATATCTATACATATATATATGTATGTGTATGTGAATATGTATATATTATTTCTGTAAAGCTTGGTGTTACCTGTCCTTCCATATTGTCCTCCATTTCTTTCATATTCTCAATGTCCATTTAGATGGTCAAAGAAAGATGAGTAGTCCTCAAACAACAACCAATAACCACAATATCATTCATAATGACACCTCTTTTTACCCTTTGTGTAACATTGTGTCGAGAGCCTGACATAGAATTTTATAAAGATTTGTATTGAGAAAATGTCAAGCTGCATTTTAACAGCAATAATAATAATTTTCTACATGATTATTCTTCCAGGGATAGACATATAAAAGGAATTCAAGGAGTTGTTGTATAAAATTTTATTATTGATATTATCTTTACATTTTGATCAATCTGAATAGTTCTTGAAATTAGAAAGATTTCACAAATTGTGTGCTATGTTCTCTCTTTCCCATCTCATTTCTATTCAAGGCCTCTGCAATATCTTTCTTAAGCCTAGATGTTAACTATCTGACTATCCTTAAGATGTGTGAATGTCCTCCATTTACCAGAATCACAAAAACATCATCTCCTAGGGCCGTAAGAGGTTCCAAATGAACCCCACATAACACTTTACTGGGAAACCAGAAAATACTGTCAGATAAACCCTAGTTAGTTAAACATAGACTTTGGAACCAGATTGCCTGGATTTGAATTCTGGCTCTTACATTTAGCTATTGGTTGACCTTGGGCAAATTATTTAATATCTCTATGCCTATTTCCTCATCTGAAATTGGAGATACTAACAGTAACTATCTAATAGAGTTGTTTTGAGTGTTAAATAAATTCATATTTGTAAAGTGACTAAAACAATAGTGTCTAGCACATAGTGCTGTGCTGTGTAGGCTTTTTTTATTATTTTCATTATTATTATTATTTAATATATGAGTCTAATGTAACATAATAACCATTATCTCTTCCCAGAGAGCAAGATATTTAGTGTCAAGTTATCCTAGGTGCCAAACATTCAAAATAACACCACTCTAAAAACTGTTTAAGAGAGAAAATTATCTACCTGATTTAATAGGTTGTTCTGTTGATAAAGGCATCCTCAACTTTCAGAGATGCACTCTTAAGCTCAAATTAAATTTCTGTCCTCCCTGGAGTTGTAGAAAGCTATTAAGTTCCCCTTTTCTATTATAATCATTCCAACACTGGAAACTAATAACATTTCTGTTGTCCTTGCTGATGTCAACATGACATTACTTCAAGAAACTAAATTCTCCAACCCAATGACTCTGTCTCCCTTCTGACGGAGCTGCTCACAGCCACATATTGGACCTTGTCATTGCTTTGACTTCGTTCTTGGACTCTGAAAATATTCTCTTAGACCACAGTTTTCTTTCCTTTCAACTTAAGCTGATCTTGACCCTCAGCATAACCTTCCCATTCCCAACACGTCCTGCCCGTCAGCCCCTCTGCCTTTATTTGCCTCCTCTCTCTGTATCGTCGATCCACTCACAGTGTCTGAGGAAAGATGGAAAGAGAACTCTCCTCAGGAGGGAGGCACTGAAAGATGGGGCCATGGGGACTACACTGTTTATCAAGGACATCTAAAGCAGCAAAGGCAAAGAAGAATCCAATAGTTGAAGAGAAAGCAAAAGATCATGAGCCAGTGCAATTTTACCGTTCATCGGGTTCAAAGGATGAAGTAAAGCTATAAACAGGAAAATAAATCATAGGGTCAGAAGTAGGAGGACTAAGGCCAAGATGGGATGGAGCTTGGAATGGGCAAGGGCACACATTTCAAACCTAAGGCCAAGAACAATTCAAGAATGTTGGAGGCCTGGTGTTAAGGCTCCTGACTCCAGGCTTCAGGGATAGGTCTAAGAGCTCAAAGGAACCATGCTATTACTAATGCTCACTCAGCCTGGGCCCCATCGTCAGCTGCAACAGTAGAGCTTCCATTGACCTCTGTTTCATTTGTCCCCATATTCTTGAGTTAAGTCTACCTCACCAAAAGCCAATTCAACATTTTTCCTATAATCTGCTATTTTTGCTCCCATTCCCAGTCTGTGGAAAAGATATATATATATATAGTTATATAGTTATAAGCTATTATACATGTAGTTACGTAATATATAGCTATAAACTATTATATATATCAACTATATATATATATATACATAGTTAAAGGATCATGGGTTTTCACGCATGCTAATACTCAACAATCATTTTATTCACTTTTCCTCGACTCGTTAGCACTTTCACCATTATTCGTGACAATCGTAGATGTTCTCTCTTTTAATATACGGCTGAAAAATTTGAGAATGGAAACAAGTTTATGGATAATATTTTTAAAAAAAGACTGTGTTGGGTTTTAAAAGATTTGGCAACATAAGATTAGGGCTTAAACAGTTACTAGAGCTATACTTTGGGTGGAATGTGGATGAAGCTGAGACATGATGGAGTGTGTGTGGTAAGACAAAAACAGAAGACGCGGGATGGAGCCCTGGATACTGTGCATGGCTGGGTGTCAGGAATTGTGTATGTCTCTGTGTGTGTGTGTGTTTCAGGAGACTGGTCAATAGATGAGTGGTATTTGTGTCTGGTCTAAGCCGCTCACCAAATCCACACTCAAGTTTGAAATTTTATAAAGAACAGTGCAAGAGACTACTGCACAGCATCAGCATTTTTATTCTTCCTTCTAAGATAGTCTCTGCAATGGCAAATGCCAGGCTTGGTGAGGTTTACCGCATTCTCCTGAGGCCCTGCACTGCTGGTGGATGGGACCGAGGGCTTCCCACATCTGCTTTCCTTGGCAGGTTTCCAACTCAGAAGTGCACTGGGACACCCTGAAAACCTACTGAGATCTTCCTCTTAGATCTCACAAAATAAATAGGATACTGCTTGTGATTAAATGGTCCCCTAAGGAAAAGTGTGTGTGTAAGTGCGTGTATGTGTGTGTTTGCATGTTCTGTCTTTACTTCTGTACTTGTTCCACTGGGCTGGGAAGGCTAGTTATTCTATTCTGGACTGAACTGTGATGGAGACATGAATGTATTTGGAATTCCTTAGCTATCACACTTTTCTAATTGCTTTCTGCAGATATGTAATAACAGGAGAATTTCTGGCAGAAATTAAATTTGGCAGAAAGCCCAAAGTTGACTGGTTTCACTTTCCAAGCAAACGTTTTTGTGCAGTTCTAATTTTCACCTGCTCATGTGGTGTCCTGCTGAGCATTTTTGGTGATGAGCTGGATTTCGTGGTGGGAGACTCACAGGTTCACAAGCAAGAAGTTTATTTTTGCTCCCTCCTGGAAGCTCTAATCCCAATTTTCACATAACTTCTTTGTGATGCTAAATAACTTCTGTTGCAGAATTTGCAACTTGTTTTCTACTCTTTAAAAGAAGCAAGAGAGAGAAGGTAACAAAATCTGTCAACAGGAACCATAAAAAGATGGGCTTTGAATTTTGCAATATTATTTCAAGACAAATTCATTCAATAAATGCTTAATGGGCATCCACTGCGTATAAGTCATGATGTTAAATGTTAAATACCTCTGAGGTTGGCCATTTTAATCTCAACCGTCGGTTTACTTCTTGGCAATCTAGGAATTTTAGTTCGAGGTAATAATAAAAATTTAATAATCATTTTTGCAAGAATATTAGGAAAGGATCTGCTACTCCTTGTTAGGCAAAGCAAAGGCTATCATTCTTAGAAATGCTGTATATTTCTCCTATGCCCACATAAGGGCCCATAAGGAGCATTTCTGGCCACTATATGATGGCCATCCTTCCATACTCACAATGTATGTGTTGCCATTTTGTAAACTGATGAAGCTAAGAGATTCTTTGACTGAAATCGTAGTAGATATGGTTATGCAGGCTACTAGAAGACTTAAGCCATGGAACTGATGCTGAGTCCTGGCTAGCGGTTGATAACCTGTAGTTGTAGTTAAGTGTCTAAAATTTTAAAAACAATCGTTAAAGACAAACAAGGAGATGGTTAACTTTACAGTCTGCGTTTCCTTTCAGGTGAGTTGTCTTAACACCGTAGGAGGTCACACTGAAGTGACTTGTCCATCTGCCCGAGGCTTTTGGGGCCTAAAAGAAGTGGTCTAGGAAAGTGATTCTATTTTAAAGTTGTGAAGCCTAGTTTCATATGGAATTTTACAAACAGACCCCATATATAACTTTTTAATTGCTTTTTACATTTCACTCCCCTCAACTTCCCTCCTTTCACCTTCTACAAGATTTTAACTACATCGGTCTAGGAAAACTTTTGTTTGCAAGTTTTACTTAAATTCTTTGTTGTTCACAGATGTTACTGTCTTAGTGTGCATGGAGAAGAGCAAGTTTAGATCTGATTAATATTTAAGGGCTGATTTTTACACTTCGCCCTTTAAAAGCAGAAGTGAAATAAGCATCATAACCCGAGTTCCTCCACTTACGGTGCACGTACAGGATGAGGTTTTGAAGCTGAGGGAGAAGAAACACATGCCAATGCCAAATTTTCAAAGCAAAATAGCTATAAATAACTTAAGGGATGATGAGACTGGCTAACTATGTACTCTGTGTGTATCTTAAGCAGGGGAGACTATTAGATTACTTCCACTCTCTGGACTTTTCCTAGTACCAGCATATCATTAGGAATCTGACATCATCTCTTTCTTTTGAAGTTACAGCCTGCACTTGTATGCAAAGAGCATTTAGGGCATGTTAATGGTGACGGGGAGAATAGCCTAGCACCTGACTGATTCAAAGTTTTGGTACATTAAAATTATTATGGTTTTAATTTATAAACATCCCTGTCCTAAATTTAAAAGACTGTTCAACATGTAGACAGCATTATCCATTGTCCTCTACAATTGTGGGGGGCGGTTGTGAGAGTACAAACATTTGAACAAGATGCCAATTACTTTTCATTTTAGAGCACCTTAAAAGAACCTGTAACTTTGCTAAGAAAAACAGTATCCTACATGGATTCTTAGCATTTCTGCTTAACATTAGCAGTTTTATCTTCTTACCCAAGATTAAATGATTAAAGATCATATGATTCTGAAAGTGTTCACTTCTCTAGGTAGAATTATTGTAAGTACGTCACTGTTCTGAAAGAGTGAATTTACTTCCAGAGGAGTTGGTTATTCACCAAGCAATATGTTGCATTATTTAAGCATTTACACTTTTCTCCTTGATTGCTTAGCTTTTCCAAATAATGTTCTGTAAAGAAAACATGTGGAATTAGTGTGGTTTCCCTTCTTTGATCAAGTCTATCAGCCACTAAATTCAAAAGAAAAACACATCAAAGTATGCTGCAGTTTGTGGACTTAGGCAGAGTCTTTGTTTAAAGCATTTTAAACAGACTTACTTAAGGTCATTGAAAAGAATTTATATAAATTCAGATGCTGAATTTCTCTAAGAGAAAAGGTGGATTGAATTAAATGCATTTTATTATTCAAAGGAAAAGGAGGATTAGTAGGAGAAAAGCTGCCACAGAATCAGTTGTCTAAATCAGAGTCAGAATTTGATGATTTGGGCTTTCTTTTTTGTTTTCAATAATTTTATTTATTTATTTTTTTTCCCCCAAAGCCCCAGTAGATAGTTGTATGTCATAGCTGCACATCCTTCTAGTTGCTGTATGTGGGACGCGGCCTCAGCATGGCCAGAGAAGCAGTGCGTCAGTGTGAGCCCGGGATCTGAACCCGGGCCGCCAGCAGCGGAGCACGCACACTTAACCTCTAAGCCACGGGGCCAGCAGGATTTGGGCTTTCTTTTAATATCCTGTGTCAGAATAAATTTCAGATACTAACCTTAACAGAGAGGTGAACTTTGGAAAGAGGGTGAAGAATCAGGGAATTCCTAAAAATAGATCCAGAAAACTCTAGCTGTTCCAGAACGATAGTGTAGAAATGATTTAAGGTAATAGTAAGCAATTAACTTTCCTACCTCTGCTTGGGCTCAACTTACAGGTGGGCATGCCAGGAAGATGTTTTTCAAAGCTGCAAATTCTTAAAGGTTCATCTCCGTTATATTACTGTTGCTTATTTTTGATCTGTTGAGTGCCAACAGCATGCCTGGAACTAAACAAAACAGTTCAGTACACATGAACTAGCTTCATATGGAATTTTAAAAAGCCTACGAGAGACAAAAGTAGATCATTTTAGGGAAAGACAGATTCTAAGCTAGTATGCATGAGTCATCTCCATCTACCAGCAAATTGCTTTGACCCCAGAATGAAATCACTCTCTGTGTATTCTGGAGGCCCTGATGGTTTTAGAGGTGCTGGTGGACATTTTCACCAGTCTGTTTCTGTAATGCCTTTCAGAGGAATGCATATTTTCTGCTAATCATAGACTGAGTTTGACAATTGTCACTCTGTGGCTGAAGGCATGAGTACATTTGCTTGCCATTTCTCAAGTTCCAGCCTAGAAAAACAGGAAGAAGATGATGTTCTCACAAAGGCACTGCCCACTAGTAACTGAGCCACACATGAAGGAGGATTCAGAGACCTGGGGACCACAGGGAAGTTTGGGAAAAGGAAAAGCAGAATTGAAACAGTAGGAATAAAAAAGGAGTATGTTAGGAAAGAATGGGCGACAAAAAGAAGTTACATCAAAGAGCCAGCAACTCAGGGAGAGGTGGAATAATGTAAAATGATATGAAATTTCAGGATTTTCTAGAACAGAAACTTTAGGAAGAAAGGGTTGGAAATCAACTTAAATAGAAGGAATACTCAAATTAACTAGAAAGAATATCTGTATTCAAACTAACTAAATATAAAAACACCTCTTCAGGGCCAGCCCAGTGGCATAGCAGTTAAGTTCGCGTGCTCCACTGTGGCGGCCCCGGGTTCACAGGTTTGGATCCCGGGCGCGGACCTACACACCGCTTGTCAAGCCATGCTGTGGTGGTGTCCCATATACAGTAGAGGAAGATGGGCACAGATGTTAGCCCAGGGCCAATCTTCCTCAGCAAAAAGAGGAGGATTGGCAATGGATGTTAGCTCAGGGCTAATCTTCCTCACACACACACACACACACACACACACAAACCTCTTTATTTAGGGATGTTCCTCACAATGTAGTTTTACGATGCATAGGTACTTAGTGGAGCAACAGAGGAATGAATCATAAATGAGGAATCTTGGATCCTTCTCTTTGTCTTTGGTGGACAGCAAAAAGGGCAGCAGAAACTTAGAGAGTGGCTCAGTCATTGCCACCTGGCTGGTCCAGGCCAGGGTTCACAGTGCCAAGCCCACTGCTCAGAGGCCTCTTAGGGAAATGAAAAATGTAAATAACTTTGAATGATGGTTTCATGATTTTACCTAAAATACATAGAGCAGGGGAAAATGGGAGGAACCATTTTGGGGGAAAAGGAGCAGATCTGTCCCTAAAGTGTGATAGACTAGGGTGACTTTCATGAACTTTCCATTTTCAGAGGACTGCCATGTTGCTTGCTGGTGAAAAATTGGTGGTTCATCAGCTAGTGTCAAAAAGACAGATAAACCAAGACTTTGAATATCATATACATTGAGTAAGTAATTTCTTCTCGTTCATATTCTTTCTCCATCCCTGTGACCATATGAGTAGGACAGTGCCAGCTTCTTCACCCCAATCTCATCGTGTCATTTTCCATTCTTTCATGATTTATTGTGTTCCCATTGTTTCAGGCAACATGGTGGATACTTGGCTTATAAAGAGGAATTCAATGTCCCCACAGAAGGCTTTAGATTCGGGTGGACCTGAGTCAAGTCTTATCCTTATTGCTGACTACTTTTGAGATTTAGAAAAATCTCATAACTTTTCTTATTCTGAGACTTTTATCATCTCAAATTATCTGGATGATAATATCTAGAGTATATAATAATCACACCTAGGATGACTGGAAGCTGGTGAGCATTTATTATTTACCATGTGCAAGATACTATGTAAAACTCTACTTTTGTGAGATCTCCTTCAGTTCTCATAGGCAATCATAGGATATTGGTTGTATTATCATTTTCATGATATAGGTAAGAAGAAGGAAGCTTATAGAGGTTAAACAATTTGTTTAAATTCAAAACTGTCAGAGATAGAAGCTTCTGGGTCCAGGGGTGATGGTTGATCTCCTTGGGGGTCTGCCTCCTCCAGGATAAAGTGCCCAAGACAGAACCTGGTGTAAAACACATTTACAAAATTAGTTTAGCTCTGCCCTGTGGTGGAGGATATTGCATGTTGGTGGAAGGTCAGAGAAGTAGGGAGGACAGAGGGACTCAAAGATACACTAAAAAGTGATAAGTAATATAAATAGAAGAATAATTTTAAAATGTTGGGGGAGCACAGCAGAGGGAGCTACTCACTGCTTGGGTTAAGCAGGGACAATCTGAAGAGAAATTGAGCTACTATGAGACTATGCATAAGTGACTTTTCAACCTCATTAAATCTGATTGGCCTTTATCCATTTTAATCTAATTTCATCCCTATATAAATAAATGTGATTTCAGGGTTTGGGATGCGGCGTGGGTGCCACCAAGTTCCTCAAGACTCCTCACCTAGGGAGGGCTCCATTTGGTATCTCTTCAGACAAGCCCACTTCCTTAGCAGGGCCAGCCATCTGGGAACTAGTTTTATTCAGAAGTCAGCATATTGCAATGATGCAGCCTGTTGTGTTTCTGTTTTTAGAGATAAGGCCAGATCAACACTTTTTAGAATACTGTATTTCTTGAATATCTCTCTGGTGTTTTTCTTTTCTTCTCTTGTCAAGTAGAGCAGAACCGAATATAATGGTGATTAATTCATGAGCACTGTGCTAGGCCAACAGTAGATGGGCAGTAGACGTTTATTGAATGCATGACTAAAGCCTTAAGAGGAAAGTTTATCAAATACCCTCATTGTACACCTGGGATGCAGATTTAAACAAGGGGATACTTTGATGGAAGTATGACACCACCTCCCATGCCCTGGGGCTGAATAGACTAATAGAAAATGAGAGCAGTGGTCCTTGCTTTGCATTTTCCTTCCCTTATAGTAAAGTTCCTTCCTCTTCCTGTTAGCTTGGATCAATACCTAACCCCATCTCAAGTTTGATCTCTATGGTGACCAAAGAACTATAACTGAAGAATTTTACTTTGATTCCTAATTATAAACTCAACCTTATAAAGACAAAAAAAGAACCACTTAGAGTCGTAGAAATTCAGCTTACTGGTTTCCCTTTGATTTATCCCTAGATTCACTGAAATAAGTGTCTAGAAAGAATTTGTGTGTAGATATTTAGGAAGCAGAAAGGAAGATTCATATCCTTAATTAAAAAGTTATTTTATAATAAAATGTTATATTTTAATGAGAAATATTTACATAAGAGATTGTGTAGAGTTCAATAGCCTGTATTCAGAAATACCTGAACTCAATTCCAAGTTCAGTCCCTTACTCTATGATTTCATTTTTAGAATGTTACTTTCCTCATCAGTAAAATGGAGATAATACCACCTAACAGATATGGTTGTTATAAGAATTAGTGTGATAATACACGTAGAATCATTAACACATAATTGATACTCATTAACAGTAGTTATCATTGTTATAAAGCAATATAAGTCTGATTGTGCTAGAAAAATGTCTAACAAGAGACTTTTGTTGTAAAAATTTGCATCATCTACAAGCATTTAATGGTTCTAATTCATTTTACATTTCAAAGAAATTTGTCATTTTATTCAATTATTGATTTTTTTAACTGGCCAATTATTTAACTAAACTAAGAAATTAATTCAAACACATTTAACAGCAATATGATTAAACTTTCAAATATGCCCAAACTAGCAGTATTAATGTACTAGTGATTATCAAATTTCTGACTGAATTCTGTTCATTCGTAACTGCTCTAGTACCAGGAGCACTTCTTGTGAATGATAGGAGCTTCAGAAAAGGGAAGACAAGTCTATGAAACAAGAAGTTATTACAGTTAGAAATGGCAATTTTGTTACTCAGAGAGATTAGAATCTAAATGGATGTTTAAGCTGAGCCTGATCTATAAGTAGGTGGATATTTCTTCTTTGGGGCATGAGGAATAACTTTAAAGATGTTTCCATCACAGGGTGATTTGTTTATATAAATCTGTGAGATTTGGGGGAGCTGGAACTGAAATATGCTTTAAAGAGAAGCTACTGTGTAGTGATTTCTGACTCAGACAGGTGTACGTAGGTGTACAGCGGATGCTTGTGTTAGTTTCCTATTGCTGCTATAACAAATTACCACAAACAACAGTAGCTTACAATAGCACAAATCTATTATATTATAGTTTTGGAGGCCCAATTTCCAATATGAATTTCACTAAGCCAAAATCAAGATGTTAGCTGGCCCATCCTCCTTCCAGAAGCTCTAGGGGAAGATCTATTTCTTTGCCCTTTCTAGCTTCTAGAAGCTGCCTGCATTCTTTGACTCATGGACCTTTCCTCCACTTTCAAAGCCAGCAGTGTAGACTCGGCATCGCTCTCTTTCTCTCTCTCTCCTGCTCTCTCTCGCTGTGTCCTTCTGATGCTGTCATCAATTCTTCCTAACTCAGACTCTCCTGCCTCACTCTTTCCTTTATGAGGGCCCTTGTGATTACATTGAACCCACCTGGATAATCCAAGATACTCTCTGCATTTCAAGATCCTTGACTTAATCACATCTGCAAAGTCCCTTTTGCTACATAGAGCAACATATCCACAGATTCTGGAGATAAGGATGTGAACAACTTTGTAGGACCAATATTTTGTCTACCACGACACTGAATCTTTTCTTCCTTTAACAGGCAACTGGATGTACAAGATCTCCTCCAGTATCTGGTTAACTAGGAGAATACTGGTTAGGGAAATGTTAGTAAGGAAGCAAGAACTAATCCTTTTTATAACCCTCAGAGATCTGTTTTTGTAATGTGTAAAGTATGGTAATCAGATGAATGAATGGATTTTGGGGAAGATGACAAGTATATACACAATAACACAATGAATTTGGGGGGTCATAGGACCACATTAGTCTAAAAAGTGGAATATGATTCATTGTGTTCATACGCTGGATGGATGCCACAATATAGTATTTGTGCTGTCATGGCATACACTTCCATTCATTTTACTCTTTGCCTTTTTTCTCTGTTTTTTTTAAGAACTGTAAATTAATGCAAGACTGCACTACACACTTGCTCTTTCATTTTATTCTCCATCTATCTCTTGGTTTTATAATATTCAAATGAGGGTAAAATATATAAAACTCAAATTGATTACAAATTCAACTTGGCAGCAGCATTCTGAATGTTTAAAAGAGATGAATTTTATTGTTAGCTGAGGGATATGCAAATATTAAGAATTATAGAAAATGTATTCATGCTAATGGCTCTGAGTCTATGATATGTCCATCCGTATGATATCTTCTGCACAAATCCGAGCTGGGTTATAGATCATATGTTTAGATTTGATAGAATTTAGTTCGTCACTCTCCCAATTTAGTTCCAAATCAATTGTCCGAGGAGTGAGGAGTTGACTTCTTTATAATGCACCCAGAACATAATGGCGAGGCTGTTGAGGTATCACTGAAAGTATGCTTGCCTTCTTGAAGCTGGTGTCTGTGTTTGTGTCAGCTTTGGGGGCTTCCATGTGACATGCCAGCTCACTTTCTGCCTAGCTCTTAGTTCTGACTAAATAAAGGCTTCTTGAATTGATTTTAGAAAATTTCAAAGAAAAAATCATTAAATTCTTGTTTTTCTGCTCAAGAGTTCAAATTACTATTAAACCTTAAAATTTCTTTTGTCGTAATTATACACTGGATTAGCAATCTAGGACTATTTTTTGTAGTTTTTTCTTATTGCATATGCAGTATGAGTCAGTTCACAACAGAAGAAGGCATCTCTTTGTTTTTTGAATTTTCCTTCATCTATTTACTGGAGAAGATGATTGTTTGGGTTTGTTTTTGTGGTTTTTGGACACTTGTACTTCTTGAGAAGTAGCATAGAATTGTAGTTAAGTCACAGCACTTGGAACCAGACTGCCTGGATTCCCTTTCCAGCTCTGAAGCTCACCAGCCACCTGAACTTGAGCAAGTTTTATAACCTTTCTGTGTCTCTGTTTCCTTATCTGTAAAATGGAGATAAAAAATAAAAATAGTCTCTACCTCATAGTGTGGTTGAGGGCATAAAATGGATTAATGTCTGACATCTAGAAAGCACTTTATACATATTTACTATTCTTTTTTTTACTTGTGTGAATCATTCTTTTGAGTCCTTTATCTATTTCTCAATAATGTTAACAGAGTTTTTCTGACTTAGCATTCTTTACTGAAAATTAACACTTCAGCCTATTTATAATTGTCCCCCTCCAAACTTCCTTTTGTATTATAAATTCTGTTTAAAAGATTTTTTTACTTTGAATTTTTTATACTTAGAAAGTCCATCTGAAATCATTTTGTGAACTATTTATATTTCTCTGAAGATTTTTTGTATTTTAAGAAAACATTTACCTCTTTGGTCCACCTAGTACTTCGTTTGTAACGTGCAGTGAGGTGAGGAACTCTTTAATGTTTTTCTCAAAATCGTTACCCAATTTTCCCAGCATGATTTGTTGGTAACGCTGCTGTTTCGTCCCCTGTCTGCGTCTTTCTCTCTTCCACGTCTTCACATGGCCGACTCCTTCATGTTTCAGTGCAGATGTTCTACTTCTCAGGATGCCTTCCCTCACACCTATTGCATTGACACACCAGGTGGATTATGTCCTCCCTGTAGGCTCCCAGCTCACCTGGTGCAAACTTATTAAATCTTGGGTTATAATTGCTTGTCTCTTTCCAATGAGACTGAAAGCTCTAGAGCATAGTGAACGTGTCTTATGCTCATTGTAGATAATCAATACTTGTTTAAAAATGAATAAGTATGTTAAAATAAATCTTGCTAATTCTATAATTCAAATCATTTATTTTAGAAATTTCATAAGGCAAAGATGGAGGGAGATCTGTTAACATCACCCACAGCAATGATATTCCCATAAAATTCTCCTTTTTCTTGTTACTGATGGTCTGTATATGTTTCTGTACTCTGCTAGCCAGCATGTAGAGGCCCATAGTTGTTGCGAGTTCATGGTGAGATGTATCTTCTGTCTACGGAATAGCCTTCAATCTCATTTAACAGACTTTGTCTTGAACGTTCTTTTGCGTGAAAAGAGTATAGCCATGGTGACTGTTCTTCATTTATATTTTGCCTGGTAACTTTTGGCCCAATATTTTCTTTTTAGATTTTGTGTTTTGTTTTAGGCTTGTTTCTTGCAGGTGGTATACGGTTGGATTTATTTGTCTGTCAGTGTGAAGTTTGACCTGTATTTATTTTCATGACTCTTACATTCGATTTTATTTCTACCTTCTCGTTTAGGTATTATATTGTAGGTCCTTTGTTTGCTTTGTGGCTGACTTTTGTTACATGGACTGTTTGATTTTTTGTTGCCTTCTCATGTGAGCGCCAACTTGGATTCATATAGACTCTAGTTCACAAAACTAAAATTTCAGTAACCGGTACCTAGTTCTCTAATTCCTTTTAGTGTTCAGTGTTATAAGACGATATCTAAGGATGTTTGAATTTTGTTTCTTCATGACAGAAACTCTTCATGTGTCTTGATAATTGTAGAATTTTTTTTCCTTGAACTTGAAATGTTTTACCAGAATTTGCTGATATATTAGTGTTTTAATATTAATTTTATTCCTGGATTATGGTAAATATTTGTAACCTCTGCCCAAATTTTATTTTCAGCAAATTTTTCTTCTATTATATCTTGTTTGTTCAGCCCACTCCCCCACCCTCTCACTGAAATGCTGTTATCTTGTAGTTTGGATTTTAATCTCTGTTCTCTTGTAGTTTGGATTTTACACTCTGTTCTCTGTTTCTGGCATCTTCTTGCACATTGTTGTTAATATATTTGTGATTTTCTTTTCTGCAGCATATATTATTCTATTTACTGCCTTCAATGTATATGTTAATTCTTCTAAAAAACATTAGTATCCTAGTTCATTTCTCATCTGTTTTCTTCTGATTTCACCTCAGCCAGATCTCTGCTGTAAAGCAGACACAGCTAATACCAGCTTCACACCCCAGACACTAGCAGGTGGTCTCTTAATGAAACAAAGAGGTCAAAATATTTTATACTTTATTCTATACACTTTCACATTATCCACATTGTGTAGGCCAAAGCAAAAAGAAATAAGGTGACTCACAAAAATTTCAACTATATTTGTGTAAGCCAGCTTTAAAGCACCTGGTATTTAATATCTATCTGTCATCCAATAACATCCATTGTATTGTTACACTGTCATCCTTTCCATAAAACTTTATCCACAATTACAGTTTGGGAATGTGCCTCCAATATTTTGAAAGTAAGAAGAAATATTTACATTTAGAAAATGTGCTGAGATGGAATCTTGCTTAGAAATTGGATCATGATAAAGCACTTGGCTTTGTGAACCCTGCCACACTAGATATCTTCTAAAGAAACATTTTTCTGACTTGGACAGTATTTTTGAGCAATGCACTGATCCTAGCACCACGTATCAAACATTTGACTTTTATTTACAAATTGTTACACTATAAAGAGCTTAGGATCATATTTATAACTTGTTATTTCAGATTTTTAGACAACTATTTGTTTAATGGGAAATGAGGATAGATTTGTCATTTATTAATGTTGTAATAACATATCATTTTTATAAACCACTGAATTCCATATTTGAAATTTCCTCAACAGCTAGTTAGAATGGTTCATAACAAATGTAGCAATGACACTTTTTAATGTCCCTTGATCCTAGTCTGTGCATATTTCTAAGAATTCTTTCACTGATAATAGAATTTGTGAAATTAGGAGAAAATTCCTAATTTCCTAATGTATTAATTACTTTGACTATTCCTCATTGTTTCTATATCCGACTTCTTAAAGCTATTATGTTATCACCTCCAAGGAAACACAGAAGGATGACTATACCATCCCTTCTCTGACTGACTACAGGTCTGTGAATAATTCGCCAAGGAAAGAAGAGTATTCTGCCTTACATTGCACTACTTTGCTCATTAAAAAGTGCTTTAAAGATAGACTCACCAAAGAAAGTAAAATTCAGGAAAGCGTAACAAATTTTGTAACCTGGGCAAATTTTATTGTTTGATTGATTTAGTTTGTTACTTCATTTTTAAAAACTGCAGAAGAAAAGCACATGTTTGGCACTAAAGAAAATTGATCTCTAGTCACACAATCTCTCGTGATTTAAGAAAATAGAAAGTGGACAAAAGTTGGATCCATCTGTAGTATATAACTTTCTATATTACAAAAAATTATAATATAAATCTTTTCCCAAAGAACCTCAGAATTCTCATAAAAGACATTCTTGTCCTTGGTATCTAATAGTTTTCATGATAACAGCCTGTAATTTTTAGTGTTTTATTTTCTTTCAAAGTGCTTCCCTGTGTGTTCTTTCTGTTTTACAGGATTTATCCTATTACACAACGAATTAACATTTTGTATGGATTGGCAATTATTTTCTTATCAGCAAATAAAACATTCAATATTTAAGGTATAGTGGATGCTAGGCCTAGCTATGCCATGAGCTCTGGAAATTTGAGAGAATTCACCGAACTTTGGGTTTTCATTTACTCATCTGCACCATGAATTATAGATGTCCCTCAGTATCCACAGGGGATTGGTTCCAGGAGCCCTGCAGATACCAAAATCCTAGGATGCTCAAGTCCCTTATATAAAATGGCATAGTATTTGCC